CAGCTGTTAATGACTTGACCTTGACATGGTGGTGTCCGTTGACAGTCCAAGGTCAGAGCTAAGCCCTTGCTGGTTCAACAGATTTTGCAGGAAATCCCTGTCGCTGCATGTTGGGAAAAATCGCCTGGTAATTGGACCCGCTGGGAACAGCCTGACTTTGGTTGTGGTAGGGTCAAAGGGAAACTTTGAATTTCAATTTTGAAAGTTTCATTTTCTTCTGAAGAAGATTTTCAGCTTTATCGAATTGGGTGAAAGTTTTTGTTCTGAAATTGAATATTTTTGGTACAGAGCGAAGTACAGACACTCCAGCAGGTTTTGTTATGGAGTTTTTGATGCAAATTTGTTGAAAATCATGACTGCATTTTTGCTCTAGGAATTGTAGTTCAGTTCAGCAGTATGTATAGTTATCTGCATGTGCTGATCTAAGTATATGTAATGACACTATGATTGCCTTTAAAAACAAATAGAATACAAATCTGTATTCTTTGCTTTATTTATATTGACTGACTGATTATTGTTTTAAAATGATGAGAAAGAAAGATGACTGGCCAGACCAGCTGGCGTGTTTCAGAGAGAAGCCTGACTTTGTCCTGTCAGTTATCAGGGCGTGTCAGGGTCAAGTTCGGGAAGGGGTGCCACATTCCAGACCCGCATACTTGGGCCTGGGGAACTCAGGATGGTGTTTCACGGTTCCTAAAGTTGTTTTCATGTCTTGTTTGTTTTGTGACTGTTCAACTTTGAGGAGCAAATTAGTTTTAGTCTGTATTTTTTGTGATACAAAATTTGCTTTTTTTAGTGCACAAACTCATTAATCAATCAATCAGTCAACCAATCAATTATCTTTGCTGTATAAAAAGCATATACAATGTATGGCAAATTGATAAACAGTACTTCAGTTCATGTTATGACAAGTCTAGGGACTACACAGTAAAGTAAGAGTACAACCCTCCAGACAAAATTTTTAGCTTAGGAGCGCATGCGCTCCTAGCCTCAAAAAGTTAGGCGCGCAGGCAAACATTTGGGCGCGCAAAGAAAAAATCTGGTCGCGCAAAGTACTTTTTAATTTACAAGCCAAGAGATTGATGTACCTAAACAGACAATTAATTATATAATTCTTTCATTATCATAGAAACAAAATCAAAATTCACCATTTGTACTAAAAGAATTGTGATAAATGAAAGACCAAACAATGATTTTACAAGTAACTGTCTTTAATGTGTTCAAAGTCACTTCATCTCAGTCGTTAGGCCAGGCTGACTGATATGTCGGTCTCCTAGGCCTCTGCAGGGTTAGACATGTTTTCTAAAATCCACTTGCCTGGTCATTTTCACTTGCCCGAACCAACTTTTCACTTGCCCAAAATATAAATGACATATATCTATGCATTTATCATTGCAACAATGAAATCCTTTATTTAAAAAACACTTAAATGTTTTAGGCAATAATACACTGAGTCATTCATGATCTAACGGTTAATAATATTAACATTGCTACTCAAACCATTTTGTTAACGTTAAAGGTACAGATTTTCCGCAACAATGAAGACAATGTAATGATTCAATGTTCTTTATTTCTCAACTTTTCAGGTAACACTACATGTCTGAAGTAGTTTCATTGACTGAAAAATAATTAATAAAAAATAAAATACAGCAAAAAAAGCTCATGGAAAAAGGACAGAGTAGAAAACATAAAAGGGGAAGAATGAATAAAAATAGGCTTCATTTGGAATTGCCTACTAGTATAATTATTTAATAATATAACAAGCTTCACAAATGTCTAAATACTTTGCTATTAATATCAATTATTTCTTCAACTGTATCAAAACAATCTACAACCTAGTTTCAGTTGACCTTTGAACAAATGAAAAGTCTGCGCAACAGAGATCTGCCCATTGCAAGTTTTCCTTAGAGGAGTTCTAGTAGAAAATCATATCAGTCACGCATTGCCAAACTTCCCAGATCCTGGACGCTCCTGGGCCATGAGGGAGGATCTCTTTTCAAACACAAACTTTGCCAACAATCAAATATTTGTGGCTGATAAAGATATTTATCTGCTTAGTTTCCTCCCAAATTTAGGCCAGATGGTAGTTCAGAATTCTGGAAACATCGTGTACACTCCGTCCCGCTAGGTCCCGCTCCGCTGCACAAGTTTTGAAGGCGAGATCTCGTCACCTGACCCCTCTAATGGTATAAGGATATCAAGTCTCGCGAGAGTCGGGTCGCGAGGTCACGCCAGATGAAATCAAGATGGCGGCCCGGATGTGTGTCGGGGCCTTTTTTTCTTCGAAAAAAAGCTGTTTGCCGCTTTATTTGCCGAGATAATGGTATCTACGGACTTGTGATGGGTTTTCTGACAAATGAACATGATTTTGCCTGGCATTGATATGACATTCTTACGGGAAAAAATAAGAAATTTTTGCCTCTAACAGCGCCATAGCCAATAATTCAGGCGCACAGCAGATTCTCTGCCGGTCGCGCAGTGCGCGACCAGAGTAAACAGTTTAGTCGCATTTCATAATTTTTGGTCGCATATGCGACCAAAACGGTCGCAGTCTGGAGGGTTGGAGTATGATCATCAATTTTTTTATGGTGATTTTTTATTATACAGATAAAATTTTTGTCTGAGATAATATGCAGCAGGCACTGGCCAGTCCTATATAGATCCCACACACCCTGTTTAAGTTGCTTTGCCTGTACACAAGATGAGGAGAGGTAAACTGTAACGGATACAGGACTGTGGCCTGTGGACTGACCTCTGGGAGAGAATATAAACAGCGCAGGGATGGTGGAAAGTCCTTCTTTTCTGTGAGGGCCTACATGGGGGGGGGCTCCATATCCTTTTTGGTAAAACATAATCCTGCATTTCGATCCTACATAATTCTTGGATACAGCTTTGATTTTGTCTAAGTGATGTTTCAACAGTAGCATAATAATATGAAAAGAGCTCCAAAATTTGATGTCAACTGTAGCCGTCTATCATAAATTCAGTTTAAAGTGTACCCATGTCCCCCTGCAGACCCTTTTCCGTGGAATGCCCTCCATGTGACATGTATATGCCGCCCAGCAGACAGCCTGTTGGCACATGGGTGCTGTTTGTTTTTCTGGAGAGTTACAAGAGTTCCAAACAAGTCTGGTCTGACATTTACACACCAGATGGATGTGGTTTGGGGAAGAACCACGCTTCTTTACTGGCCTGGTTAGAGCTGCGCTTCAAAGTCATTTTATTGAGAAAAGCTGCCTACAAAAGTTGTTTCAGTATCTGTACTTCTATATCTGTATCAGTAGCCGGTATAACCGCCCTTAGGCGTAACACACCAGCTTTGCAGGCACGCGGTGCGGCGGCAGCTAGCTATATCACACCGAACGACTTGTTACACTCAATCTTTGCACATTTAATTGCAGGAGTCGTTTAAAGCTTTCTAGTGATGATGCCCTAACTGTGCTTACTTACCAACACAAGTCAAGTTCATGTAAATTCTAAGTTTGTCTTTCTTTTAGGCTTCAATTAGTTAAGAAACCTCCTGTCTCTCTTGTCTAGTTTTCCTTCTTTTTTAATTTGGTTATGCCCCCATTAAAAACGGAAGATAGTACAAAGGTTTTAAGGGTAGCGAAAGAGAGTAAATTCTCACAAAGATTTTGTTCTCTTTTTTTACTTGCCTAATTGGTATGAAATGCATACATGATACGCAACTGATATGTTATTTATGAATGAGTCATGAGATGAAATAACATCAGTTGTATCAGTTGTGATCTGTGGTATGGAAAGCGTCATGTGTTAAATGTGGGCCAGAAATATTCAATATATGGGCTTGTCGAAGGTCACAGAAGGGTGGTGGAATTTTAAGAGATGATATTGATAAGGCCACATCAAGTTGATTTGTTGATTCACGGATGCCCACTTCATTTTTTTCTGGTTTGCCCAAACATATTCAGGTTTTGAATCCATTCAAAATAGCTCATATTTGGCCCCAACAGTTAAGGTAGTTCCTTCTCTTCAGTGTTGTTAATATAGTTTTAAAATTCATTGTTGCTATATGTTGACGGCATGGCTCCAATCATAGCTTTTGGGGATGTCAGAGGATGCCTAGGTCTGTTTTTTTTTTTTTTATCCCTGTCGCTTCAAATTTTTTCTGAACAAAATCCGAGAACCAACAAATGAAATTGTTTCAGCCTAAAACCACCCCATTTTCAATGTCATGGTGAAACTGCCCAGTATAGGTGCCGGTTTGTCTGGTTCTATTTCAAACTGTCTGATACTAATCATATTCTGTCACTGATACATGACACAGGCAATTGTCCTTGGCCCATGATATCACTCTTATATTTATAACATATGGGGGGGGGATAGATACGGTATTCTATACTATGTATACATGATGTGTTGCCAAGATAATGTAGAGATAATGGTATATGTACAAGTTGTTTAAATGTTATATTCTTAAGAGTTGTGTTTTGTAGAATGAAATTTGAAAATTGATAACTGAAAGCCACACTTATAATCGTATACTCATTGATTGTGTCTATGAGTAGTCTTGTTGTTTTTCTGATTTTTTGAAAGGTAGAAGATTAGCATATCCATGGTACAATCATGTAGCAGCTGTTCCGAGTTCTATTCCCGTGACCTTGTACTTGAGAGTAATGAGGTCATACAGGGGGGAGGGGGGCGTCACTTGTCAGACAGCACCTGTCCTTGGCAACAGCTGACCACAATTCTCCGTCAATCATGTTACAACTGTGGATTATTAAATAAAGATAAGCAACAAAGCAATGATAAATTTGACAAATTAGATGTGACTGTTGTGTTTTGTTGTGTAAAACATGGCCCCATTGAAAAGATACAAAACTTAATGGGCCACCCTGTATAAAAAATGATGGAAATAAATAAAAAGTGTTTTGGATGATTCTTTGTGACTCAGAATCAGGATTTGTAATCCTTACACTCCACTGAAAACAAGTGTGTTACAGGTTTTCTAATCAGGCGTTTTTTTGTGTGTGTTGCAGGGTGCTGTTTTGTCACCTTCTACAGACGTAAAGATGCCATAGCTGCTCAGAATGCACTACACAATCTCAAAACCATGCCAGGGGTAAGTACAACTGTGTGTATGTGTACATACATGTATGTACATGTGTGTCTGATATTGTTATAGCACATGTTAAGGAATGCTAACTTGCAGCAATTGACAGCATATCCTTTATGTTTGGCCTTATTTGTTGCAGTATGAGGATTGCAAAGTTTATTAACATGCCTTGTGGTTTCTGCCTGTCCCAGATTGTTGGGTTTTTGGCAGCTTGTTTAAAGGCAGAGAGAAACTCACCAGCTCACTGCATGGAGAGGTCTAACTACTCACAACTAGTATCTCTTCTTAGCCCGGAGCTGGCACACTCATTTCTTTAACAAATGTTTTAGAACAGTCTAAGACATTTTTGTGTAGAACAGTTACTTGTGTTAAGAAAATTTTACTTCGAGAATGAAGATACCAGATTTTGATCGCTTCGAATAACCAGTTAACTGCATGACTGTGTAACAAGCCAGTTTGTTTGTTTCGCATAACCTGTAAACCGCCTTTGTACATGTAAGTACAAGCTGCATTAACACGTAACAGTATACAGTTACGTACATTAAGTACAGACTGTGGCTGTCCTCAAACATAGGACTTCCACCTTCATGTCCCAGGTGAAATTCCTAAGCCAAGTTAGGTACTCATTTTTAGAGTGAAGTGAGGTTTGGAAATATGTGTATGTGAAAAAATAGCCTTTTCCAGGGACATAACGATCAGGGCCTACTAGGAATTCGAACCCAGAACCTGTAGATTCGAAGGCAACAACCCCAACCATGAGAGCACTTACATGTGTACATGTACATGTTTGCAACCCCATGTTGTTGTGTTTCCAGATGTCCCATCCCATACAGATGAAACCTGCCAACAATGAGAACAGAAACGCCAACGGCGAGTGTCCGGGTAAGTCATGTGTGTTTCTTTCTGAGTTATGTAGATTAATTTCGTTATGCCTGTTTGTAATACCGTTTATGTGCAAAGACACATGTATGTGTCAGTGGATTTATTTTGACTACCTGTTTTCGAATTTGTCGGGACTAATTTATCATGTTGCCAGCAGGCTAGCTTAAAAGTTTCGTGAATGAAAAGTTCACTCAACTTCCTGGACACACAAGTAAACATACACAAACACACCTCAAAACACCCCAAAACAATTTTTTCATTTGTAAATACATTGAAAATGCTAACTTGTGTGGGGATGTGTTGTTTATTTATAGTTTGTTTGTTTTCCAGTTGAGGAACGTAAGCTGTTTGTCGGTATGGTATCGAAGAAATGTAACGAGAGCGACGTACGCATCATGTTCGCGCCGTACGGAACGATCGAAGAGTGTACCGTCTTGAGGGACCAGAACGGACAGAGCAGAGGTACATTTCTAATTCTTTTTCTTCAATTTTCACCTAAAAACAAGGCTCGTACAAACCACCTACATAAGGAACTGTAGAGACAGATGTTTGTTCACCCTAGACTAGAAAAGTTTAAGGTTGTACCCATTTGGAAAACATTCACAGGGAAGCTTGTTCCATAGTGATGTAGTTCTAGGAAAGAAGCTTTTTTAAAGTTGTTAAAAAGCTCATTTCATGGATTAGCAATGTACTTGAAATTGAATTTGAAGCTGATATGAATTCAACATCTTTTCTTAGTACTAAGTTTTCCATGTAGTTTGGAGTTTTGCCATTTTGTTAACCATAAATGTTGTTGAACAGTCTTGCTGATAAAATATAACATGTCTGTTGCCCTGTTGTTGCAGGTTGTGCCTTTGTAACATTCTCCACCCGAGCTTCTGCCCTGAACGCCATCAAAGCCTTGCACCAGTCCCAGACTATGGAGGTGAGGGGTGTTTTTGTATAAGACATTTCCCCAAAAATTTTGTTCTTTTTGTGAAAGAAAAGGGATGGAAGGTAGGGATAGAAGAAAGGAAGAAAGAAAGAAATTGCTTTATAAGTACAGAAATGTTGCTTTCGTAGATATCTTTTCACATATCTTTTATTGGCTGGTACTTGTAAAGCAGTGGAGGTTGGAGAAAGGTGGTCGACGGATGAGATTCTAAAAAGGCATTTTAGTTGCAACTACCCGTATCTTTCTCTTCAGTAAAGTAGCCCTATGCTGAAAGAAACTAACAAGGATATCTCCCCCCCCCTCTTTTTTACACCCCCCCAGGGTTGCTCCTCCCCCCTGGTGGTGAAGTTTGCAGACACCCAGAAGGACAAGGAACAGAAAAGACTACAGCAACTGAACGCCCAGGCCTGGAGTCAGATGAACGCACTGGCCAGTCTGGCCGCCCTCAACCCACAATACTTAGCTGTGAGTTTTCTTCCTACACATTTTAGCCACAAACTTAGAAAAAATTGAAGTTATTACAATTATCTTTGTTTTAACAACCAGCTTAGTATGTATGAGTTTTCTTCTTACACATTCCAGCCAAAAACTCTCTTTCAAAAAACTGTAGCACTTTTTCTACAACCAGCTCAGTACTTAGTACTTAACATATCTGTGTGAGTTTTCTTCTTACACATTGTAGGCACAATCTCTTTTTAAAAATCCAAAGTCCTTTTTTCCAAGCCAGGAATTGTGTTTTGATAAATTAGTTGATAATATTTATGATTTTCTTGATTTAACAGCCCTGAGCACTGGTGCCTTTTTTTCTCGCCTTATATTTTAGAACTGGTTGGAAATGGATGCTTTTTTTTTCTAAATCAAATCTACATTCGTGCTCTACTGCATAGGTTGGATAACTTGTAAGGCTGAGTTTTTGTTCAAAATATATCGGTAAGGTAGACTTTACAAATTGAATGTAAGACAGGAATTCATCAAGGAACCCTTTAGGTAAAAAAATTTATTGTTTATTTATTATTTTGTTCATGTTCCATTAGTCTTTCAGTTTTGAATCGGTCATGTTCTATGACTTTTTTGTTTTCCATTGTATGACACTTTATTGTACTACATAGTAGCATTCTCTATTTCAGTTTTTTGTAAGCATTTTTGCATAAAGCTGTGACTGTTTCATACACATTTTTTCAAGCCTTGGAAGCGAGACGTTATCCATTTTCTAATGCGATATTTAATTCAAAAATCAACGAGACGATTTCGTTCAAGGTCACGAAGCATTTGACCTTTAAATTAATGACATCGTCCTCCATTTACAGCGTAATGAAATGAAGCTGTAACAAATTTGATTCCATCCAGATGATTGATGTGCGTCTCCAAATGATGGTTCTGACATTTGGGGTTGATTGGATTTTTTGTGCTGAAGATGAATTTCATCAGAAAAGGGTTGAATCAAAACCCTTCAGATCACATTACCTTCCAATGACAGATTTTTAAATGAAAGAAGAACTTGACAAAGAATAAACAGGATTAAATTAGTACAAAGCTGCCCAATCCATACTGTAGATGTAGATTGCCAACCCCACAACTGAATTTCAGGCAGGCTGCTTTGAAAACATTTTTGAGGGTAATTCGAATTTGTTGCATGATCTTGAATACTGTACTTTTATGTTCACTGTTTTCACTGTCGCTTCTATGTGCAGTGAATTTATCATTACAGTAACTGTTAACAAATAATTCCTGGACTTTATTTTTCCTGCACCTGTCGCCACCACCGTGAACATATAGTTCCGTGAACATGACACATATCTTTGACCGTGAAATTTTGCTGCCGGGAACATAAAGTGAATTACAGTACTGTCTAAGTATTTTTGTGGGGAAAAATTGTGAAGCCAAGCTCGTTTACCTTCCAGTCTGCAGTCAAGCCGAACATAGACAATCAAATGACGTCTCTCAGCTCTCAGTACTTGGGCGTGAGTTTTCGTTTTATTTTGTTTTGCTCCCGCTTTTCTTTTTCCACCATTTTCTCTAACAAAACCTCTCCAAATCTCTCTCTCTCTGACTTCCATGATTTTTTCTGACTCTGTAAAATGGAAGCCTGTCCTCTTGCTTGCACATTATTTCAACAGTTGACAGCTTTCTTGTCAATTGTTTAAACAAAAATTTCTGTCTCTTATAGTGATCCTTAGTTTCATGATTCCTTGATGAATTCCTGCTATTTTATGCTAATAAGAATAGATTAGTGTAATCATAAATGAACATTTTATTAATTTTAATATTTTCTCTTCTTTTTAATCAGTTTTTAAGGTGTAATAATGCATGGATAAAGGGTAATTCTTCTAATATTGGGTTAATTTTGCAATGATTACAAATTGTGGTGAACAAAAATGGTGAACTTGCAAAAATTATGTTTTGAGTGTAAAAAATAATTCATTATTATGAAATGTATACAGGGTTTGTGCATATTCATGAAAAAGATAAAATGTAAAATGTGAAATTACAAATTGTAAAGGAACAAATTCAATTTTGTAATAAATTTTTTTCAAAACTCACAAAACATTCTTGTGCCCAAAAATGTGCATCCAATAACATTGGAAGTGGCAAACTGTAACATCCACAATGAGATTTTTTTTTGCAGTGCTTTTTTTGTTTAAATTGTTTTTCTGTATTTTTCTTTCTTGTGGAAAGTCAGTTTTTTTTTGCACAAGTTTCCCAAAATTTGAATTTCCCCCCAAAAATGCTGTACAAACCCTGTGCCATTGCTGCGTGTTTTTCCCATGTACATGTGTGTGGAGCTCTCTTTCAACCTAGAAGAGCGCTCGCTCGGCTTGGCCAATCACAGCGTTCGCTTACTGTACCTCGGCCAATCACAATCCTGTATTTCTCTCCTTCCATCATGCACCAGTCTCTGGGCTTCAACAGTGTCTCTGACGACCACCGCCATATTTTTGCAAGTTCACCTTCGGTAAGATTTCAGCCAACTGGATTTCGCAGGGACAATATGGCCACATCATGTTTTAACTTTAAGCTGTACCCTACATGTACATAGCACGTCGGCAGAATGTACTGCACCTGCGCGAAACCCGTAATGTATTGTACATAGCATTTCGGCAGAATGTCTCATATAAGGTTGTATTCGCTCATATAAGGTTAGCATTTCAACAGTAGTTTCCAAATGTTATGTCGGAAAGAATATCCTCTGCAACAGGCAAAATTCTGATGCAATGTTGACCAAAAACCCAACGAAAAACGCTAAAATACAGGGTTCTGCGCAGGCGCAGTACGTTCTGCCGACGTGCTACACAAAGATACTTTGTTGACTCTCAGTCTTGGCTTAATTAAAAATCAACTTGAAACAGAGTGCTAAGGGAAAGCATGAATCTACTTGATTCTCTCTGAAACTAATTTGTGCACCAAGGTACAGTGTTTCCCTTTAGACTCTGTTTATATGTTGATTGTCCTATGCTGAGAACCAACAAAGTGACTTGGTCTGGCCTTGTACAATGTATGTATGTAGAGTATCTGCACTTTACAGAATCGTAAATTGTACAACTTTTCCTTAATATCTTTTTAAGATTCTGAAAAGTGCATTTAGAAATTTATTTCTAATTCTCATTTCAACAGTAAGGCTACCGGCATGTTGAATATATAAAAGGAAATCTACATGCAAAAATTTGTCTTTCCACAACTTCCTTGGAACATTGACACTACTGGTACTCAACAGTCATTGATGTTTTGGACTGTAACAGTTAATAGTACAAAACAGGCTCTTTTTGGTCATACAAAAATCTGTCTTTCAGTCAAAGCACATATTTACTTGTCAGTGTATAGTATTTGATATGCCTGTAGCCATCTCTTTTATGTACTTGACTCTGGAACATGCTTTAATGATGAACAATTACACTTTATCATGTCATTACTGGCACTGTAGCAATTGCTGGAGCTTTTATGGTTAGTACTATGTATGGGTATGTAATATACATGTATAGGCACAGTTCTAGATGGCATTTTCACCATTACATACATGTCACATATCCTAACCTTCCCTTTCAATGCAGTGTAGGTCACCCCCTCCCAAAAAACACCCATCACCCCCCCTCCCCACCAACGCACAAATCGGCACCCCAGTGAAATATAGCTTCATTTGTTACTCGGTTTTTAAAAAGTTTTGTTTTTTTGATGTTGCAGCTCCTACAGCAGGCAGCGTTAGGCAACCAGGCAGCCTTCAATCAACAGCTCACTGGTAGGTATCATCACATGATCGTCACATTATCATCACATGACCATCACATGATCATCACATGGCCATCACATGATCGTCACATGACCATCACATGACCATCACATGATCATCACATGACCATCACATGATTATCACATGATCATCACATGATCATCACATGGTCCTGCCTGTGCAGTCACATGATCATTACATCACATTGACATGTCATTGGTCTTCATGCAATCCTGCATTTCATGATCCACACACGATCCAACGTTCTCAATCACATGATCACCGGATCCCTCATTCCAGTCACATGACTCATGTGTGATCCTACGATTGTCGTCAGTTGCAAGTGCACTAATTGTGTGATCCAATGTTCTGTGTCACATGACCGTCATGTGACTGTATGTTGTCCAATGACTTCCCTGCAATCCTGTGTCGCCATCTCCCTGATATCTGTAAGATAAGTGCATGAAACAGGATCTGTATTTTTTCCTGTAACCTATGTGATTCTTGTGTGGGATTTTATAACTATACTGTGTGTACCTACTGGTAGTACATGTACTTCACCCTCTACTTGTACAAAGTGTGAAAAGTGCTGTTTAAAGTAAGCTTTGTGATGGCTTCTCCTCTCTACCTGCACCACATGATTATCACAATCACATGATCAGTACATGATCAGTACATGATCATCACATGATCAGTACATGATCAGTACATGATCAGTACATGACAAGACTTGATAGTACAGAAGCACACATGCCTAACACAGCCTGGACACCGACACATGCATGAAACAGTATTTGAAGTTTAAAGTTTTGTAAGTTACTGTCTTGGATTATTTCTTGTAATCACCAAATCCATGTCACCACTTCAAATTCTGCTTGCTCTTTGATCTGTCATTTCTTTAATTTCCCCTTTTCTGAGGTGATTAGGATGCTGAAAGCATCTCCAAGACTCTCTCTTTTTGAGCATTTAAAATCAAGTCATGAAAAATGTTGTGCAGAAAATACTGAGTGTATTCCAGATAATTCAGAGTAAGTAATTTTAAGAATTCAATGTAATTCTAAGTATTTTCCAAGGAAATGTTTTGGATCACATTTAATTATATGGAAAGAGTGCATGTTTTATAAATATTTTAAGTTTGCATGGTTGAAAGGGACAAAAGAAGTCTTAAATTATAGGTTAAAACTCAAATGTGCTTAAACGTCTCCCATGCATTGCAACAGCCCTTAATTTTGTGTCATCTACGATTTTTCACAAGCATACCAAGCACAAGCAAACTATCCTAATGCATTAGGAGGTAGAGTAGCCTGATTAACACACTTCTAGCAGCCCTTCCACTGGTCAGATCCCTAGAAGCTTAGAGAAGCTAAGGGATAGAATAAGGCTAAATTAAGATGTTTTCGAAGCGTGTTGATGACTGAGTTTGTCCCACCCCTCCCCAGCAGGCGACATTCGGCAACTTTACACCCCAACTACAGGATCCAGCACCGGAGGCAAGTTCTCTCTCACACTTCACTTCTCTCAACATATAGTCACAAGGCCTTCTTTACTTGCCTACACACCTTCCAACTTAGCATGGGTGCCATCGTATTGTATGCAGGGCCCCTTTACTCCCTCACTATAAAATTATTTAGAGAGCGAGTATGGGAGACCTAGCATACAAATAGTATGGCACCCATACTTTAACTTTCAACTGCCTAGCTGGGATCAAATATTACTTCATCATAACTCTAACTTTCAACACAAAACATTTCCCCCTGCTTACTCAAATTTTTTTATTAAAAAGCGCCTGTCTTTATTTTTTTTTTAGCCCGTCCAAAGAAGTAATCAAAAAGTAATTAAATGAATAAATAAATAAAAGTATTGAAATCAGTGTGAAGTCCAAACTGCACCATTTTTGTAGCATATTGTAAAATGTCGCCTGAAAAATTCTGAGAGCAGCTAATAAGTTATAAGCATCATAAGAATTATTAGAACAAGTTTCAGAAACTGCAACATCCTTGTGTAGCATTTTATCTGTCACAAAACATGATAGAATGATGTTGCAATTTCTGATTCTTTTTTTCTGCAACAGCTTTCCTTATAGTTGCTTGCCCCAAAAGTAGTATTTTTCCATAAACTGCATGCAATATCACATTTTTATATTAGGTGTAATTTTTCTGTATTTATTACAATTGACACAATTGACAGATGCTTTGTTTCCATGGCAACTTTGTTGTTGTTTACTCGGAGCTGTTTATGTTTTTTTGACGGTCCCTCGTTTTCTGACAGGCGACATTCGACAGCTTTACACAACCACAGGCACCAGCTCTGGAGGCAAGTTTGGTTTTTATGTTTTTATTTTATTTTCTGCTCCTTCGCACAAATTCTACCTTTGCTTGCTAAAAATATTGTCTAAGCATATTATTGTCAACAAGATTCTGAAAACTGCAGTCTTAAAATTAAAAGATTGCCTGCATTTGCAGTTCAGAAAAAAAATCATCCCAGAGGTTTTCTTCTTAGTACTAGGAAAGGTATTTTGAACTCTGATGAATTTTATTGACAAGAGCAATCTGAAATATATAAATTTACAATGAAAGTATTTTTTTTCTTGTAAGTTTAAGTCTTTGAATAATATTTTTTTCACATACAATGAAAAGGATATTCTGTCCAAAGCTGAGTGGTTTGAATGTCTCTTGTTGATGCCCGTCAGGCAAATGTTTCAGACTTTGTGCAGTGGAGCTCATGTTGTAGTCAGGCAACTTACAGGGAGGAGATGGCAAAAACTACAGAAAGAATTTCCAAATGTTGTGACTGATTGTTCAGGGCAAGTTTCAAAGCATGCTTTTGGACTTTCGAAACCAAAATCTTTTCATATTTAGTTTTGAAAAAGTTTTGTGGTTTCTCCAAATTTCTTGTTAGGCACACAAATAGTAGCTTCCTTAATAAATTTTGCAATTGTTTTGTCGACAACCCTTGTCACAATCTCCTCCATTGCAAGTGCGTTTATTTTTTCATTTTTTCTGATATTTCTCTTGATACACCTCTCACACCTTGTTTAGCTTGCACAGCAGTAACACGAGTCATGTAATTATGTCTCCTACACACACATTTCCACCCACATACATACATACATACATACATACATACCTGCCTTGTGCTCTGCATTGCTTACTGCTGTAACATTACCGTGCCAACCTGTCTGCTCTAATGTGAGGTACTTACCCGCTACATGGACCATGCTCTGAAAATGCACGAGCTGTTCAGGTTAACGCTGCCTCCGCCGGCACAGCCCCGAATCCGCTGCCAGCCCTGCTCCGTGTTAAGTGTTGTTTGATTTACGCGTCCCGTCCCCTCTGCAGCATGCTTCGGGCCATTTCCCTCACTTCTGTCACTTTTTGAGTGAGGAAATTTGTTGTGTTTAATGGCGTGATGGCTTTTTTCTTCCACCTTCCAGCTTAGATCGCCGACCCACGTCCAATCTTGCTACCATTACTGCACTTTTATTGTCACTTCCCTTCCGAGAAGTATCCCTCTTTTCTCAGTTCTGCTAGTAAAAGCTTTCTAAATGGAAAAGGTCAAATACGAAATGATGGTCTTCCGTATCTGTTATCCTCGCAACTTGCAAAGTAGCAGGATTTTCTGGCGTCGGCAAAAACCTTAAATTTGAAAAACGAGGAACGAGAAAGGCAGTTTAGCTTTCCTAAATTCCCAGTCTTTTGGCATGAAAAGTGACTGGTATCTTTTGTGGTTTCAAGGATGTTCTCACATAAATTTCCAGCTGTCATTGTTGTTTTTATCTTCCTAGGAAGTTCTTTCACTAAAGTAAATGAAAGATTTTGAACCTTTCTAACATCCTTTCCCTTGAGATTTCTCACCTCAGTGCTGACAAACTCAATTTCACTGTCTTTTTTACGCTCTAATTCAACATAACGTCTCCCTAATTATCATGTCAAAACTCATCAATAAGAACCAACACCTCCTTTGTTGCGCACAGCCATTTTTCAAACACAGTACCTCAACCCTTCTAGCTATCTATCTCATCTATCAAGTTTCACCAGCAGTGAGAACTTAGCCATCTCCCTGCTGCCTAACCCCATATCCAGTACAGATTCAGAGCCAGACAGCTACCTTATATATGAGGGTTAACCTTCTCCCTGCTGCCTAACCCCCATAACCAGTACAGATTCAGAGCCAGACAGCCACCTTAGCAGGCCGAGGGTTAACGATTAACCCCACACCTCCCGAGCCCTCGCTCACTCACTCCATGGCGACGTTCTTTCAGGTTTAAATATGCTGGGATTGCAACAGTTGTTGGCCGCGGCTACGGCAGCCAATCAGGCTTCGGCGGGCACGGGGTCGTCCAGCGGGGTCAATCCGTTGTCGAGCACAGGTACCGTAACCTCTCATCGCTCCTACGTCTCCCCGTAGCGAGTAGACCCCCTGCACGGCGTGCATGCCGCTCTACGCTCTGCATGTGGCGGCTCCTTCCTTGCTTTGATGATGTGCGTTTGTTTGTTTGCATGCTTGCATGTTGTGTTTCCTTCCTCCTTACTGCATCTTCTGTGCATGGTAGCTTGTCTGTAAAGCCAAGCATGTGCAGCTTCGAGTTTCTGACACCCAGAGAAACACATCCCATATCCTAACACCCTCCTCTTCTTTGTCTGTCTTTTCTTGTAGCTGTGTGTGTAGCTACGATCGAAGCTGATCGTATGTACCTAAGTTTTAGTCCTGTAGTGACTTCCTGTAATACCATTTCTTACTGCCTCACCTCTCTGTGTGCTATGACATCTCGGTAGACAGTAGATGGTAGAACACGACTTGACGGGGACAACCAGGCGTGAAAGACAGCGTCACTTCTGGAAGTGCCCCGCTTGTGACGTCTGTACATGTGTGTAATGGAGTGTACAAAGCACTTGTGAAATGGGAAGTCCCCACACTAAGTGTGACAGGCAATGGTTATAGTGATTCATCTCTTGCGATGGGGAAAACTTTGTGAACAAGTACGGTCGCTACTAGTATACTACTGTGCTAAAGCAACCAAAGCTCAGACATTGTAGAGTATACATTTGTAACTGTGTAATAATTTACTGGTGATGGCAACAAGAGCCCTTCTTTTGAGAGAGCAGCTAGCATCTTGCTTTGGGCAAAACTTTGTGAACACAAAACCAAGTCCATAGTATGGTCGTTACTTCTTTACTATAGAACTAATGCATTCAAAGCTCAGACATTATAGAGTAATAATTTACTGGTGATGACAAAAAGAGCCCTTCTTTTGGGAGAGCAGCTAGCTTGTTGCTTTGGGAAACTACCGGTACGTAACGTATCGGTTCACTCTCAGTAAATGAAAGGTAGGTTGAGCTAAGATGTATGCCGTCAGTGGGGGGTATTAGGCTGTGTTTGTCAGTCCTGGAAGTCGGTGATGGAATCTTTGCCATGCTCGGTACGCCGGCTTTGAAGCGGATGGTGATGAAATGACAAGATAAGAGCGGCAGCCTTTCACGGTTTTTGCCGGAGGGGAGGCAGATGGATAAAAGGCTCCGGCGTGGATTTGGGCTCGCTGAAAGACGCTGCGATGGAAAAGCTATATTTGGTTTGTGAGGCTGAGTGGTCTTTGAGAGAGTCTATAGGATCTGTGCTTACATTTTTACTGAGACTGTCCCTGTAGTTTTGTGCATTTGATGCCTCACTTCCTTCGAACAATTTCTCATGACTTTAAGGCTGCAGTGATTCAGGATTCTGAAGTGTTTTCCACACAAACCCTGTACTTCCAAATTCTCCCAACTCTCCTCCCCTCCTGCGACTGGGTGACCCTAGGGAGACTTGCTGAGTTGATCACGGAAGTGGTACTGAGTAGCTGTGCCCACACACACACACACTCATCGCCTGCAGTATTAGTTATGCCCCCTCGGGAACACGCCGCCTGTATATAGAATAGTTTCTTGACAGGGGTAATCTCAACATTTTGGCAGTTTGTCGTGCGTGACGTGTTTAAGAAAACGTGACCGGCTTCACAAATTTTGGCACGTTATTCTCCGCACATCATTCAGCTACGATTATTCCGGCAATTTCCGAGATTGGTCTGAAATTAGGGAGGAATTATGTGCTGTACAAAAGGCATGAAGTAAGCTGATATTAATGTAAGCCCACATTACAGGGGCTGCATATTGTTATAAGTCATTTATGTGTTATCTGTTCTGTACAGGATGTATATGATATACAGAATTACATATATCACAACAGAAGACATAAATACCGAGACTGAAATAACGTGTCAGGAGACGAGTATTTAGGTATAATTACAGTGATTCCAGATTTCTTATTATGAGCAGAAGAGCTGGAAGAAGTCTTGATAAGTTTTCCTTATTTAAGTGCTGCAGTGCAGAACCTTAACTGCAGATTAAAACAATTAGACCTCCTTAAAGTGTTTATGGACAATTAAACAACGTTTTGCAGAGTGATAATATTCAGGTGTAACCTTTGCAAAGTTAAGTCCTTGTGTTGGCGTCTTACATTGCACTTTCATCAGTCAATTCTTGTTAGAAGCTGCCAATTCAACATTAGTATTCTACAGCAAACTCAGGACTTAGTTAGCTTACTTGTGTAAGATGGTGACATTTTATAGAGGAATTTTTGGAAGATATTTACCCAAACTCAAATTAAAACACATCTTTTAAAGTATATTTTAAAGAGATCTCAAATAATAAATAAAAATAAAATTTTCCGTTGACAAAATGGTTGTGCTGTCCCTGGATGCTTTTTAAATGGAGCAGCTTGATTTTTGTATCCATTTTTTTGAAAATGTATAATATATTTTCTTACAATAAAAACAAACACAGCTCTCAAGGGACTCTTCTCTCCTCCTGCTCAGCTTTGGCTACAAACTCTTTTCCAATTCTTTTCCTCACTTTTCTTACAACAAATCTCTGAAAACTGGTGACTTGTTTTTGCTTCTCAATGATACTAAAATTCATGACACAATTCATTCAGATCCTTCTACATGTGATACAAATGTAGCTTCAAACTGTGCTTGAAATGCAGTCACTTGCAAATTCTGCAGCATTTTGTGGCTTTAATAGAATAAACAAATCATTCTAATGAGCTCAAATTGCTGATTTTGATATAAATTATGAGAACAATGAAAATGATTTAGTCAAACAGTTGACATAATTTGAAATGATTCAGATGAAAAATGGTGTTACATAAAGATTTGTTATAACAAAAATGAATCCAATGATTTCAATCCGACAAGAAGAACTGTTTTTTATTGGACATTTCCTCAAGGTACAGTTGACATAATTTGAAATGATTCAGATGAAAAATGGTGTTACACAAAGATAAAGAAAATGAATCCAATAATTTCAATCAGACAAAAAGAACTGTTTTTTTATTGGACGTTTCTTCCCAGGTTCTTACAGTTCCTCGTCTTCCCCCTGGGATGGGTCAAACTTGGGTGAGTTGAACTCTAACAAAAACACAGCCTTTCTACACCTCACAATCCCAGTAAACTTCACTGTAAAGATGATGTTGAACACATGGTGCTTAAAGCCTTTGTCACGCATGAGGGCCTGCATGGGGGGGGGGATTAGGAATTTCGCAAAATTTTCTCCGATTATGAATTGTTAAAATCTCAGAAATGATTACAAACAGTTACTAGCTAATTTACTGATTATGAATTACAATGATTTGGGGTGACTGCCTACAGATGATGAAGACTAAAAAGGGCATGCAGGCCCTCACACATAGCTGACTATGGTTTCCCAACTTCCCCCTGACTTTGGTCGGTGGTTTAAATTTACTTGTAAAGTCCACTGATCCGTAACTCCTGCACTCTGCACTAAACTAAATAAGAGGTCTTTCCATACGTTTAAAGTTACTACTTTTATATATACACATGGTGTGCTAAGGAAATTGTTTTTAAAATCTTACACTGAATTCCAACACTTTACACTTATTTGTCCAAACTGATTGTGGTGTAATTTGGGAATAGAGTGTAGAGACTACAGATGGATTCACTTCCAATGTGAAATTTCCGTAGCCTGTGAACTCAATTTAATTAGTTTTGCTGGTTGTTAAAGAATGTTTGTTAAATCTTCCAAGCAATAAAATGGTCCATGTCGCAAAAATTGTTCTCGTCATGCTTTAAGCGCGGTAAATTTTGCTTTTTGTACTCGGTGAAGTTGTTGTTTTTTCTTCGATTTGGTGAAGAGTTGTGAAGGTCTGTCATGCTTTAAGCACAGTAAAATTGTCCTTTTTTGTCCTAAGAGTGAAGTTTTTTCTTTTCTTTGTTTTGGTGATAGTTCTGAAGGTCTGTGAAAGTCATGTTGTTTGTTATTATATGTGAGACAGCTGGGCAGGCAGGACTGAGTTTTACGAAGACATGGTCTAATTAGTACTCTGTTAATTAGAGTCTGACCTCGGGGCAGTTTAATTAGTGTGTCACTAATTAGAGTCGTCTGGCCTTTAAACAAGGATTAATTAATGGTGTTGGTAATGAAAGTTTTGTGTAACGCTACATGTAGTTTGATGAAAGTGACATTAGAGGTATTTGTGATGGCACAGTGTTAGGTAGGATTTGGCTGACAGTTTTTTGGGAAAGTCTGTCTCTGTATAGTTTTTATGGATCAAGACTTGTTGGATCTTTATTTAGAGTTGAATAGTCTTGGTTTGAGTCCTGTAGCCTAACAGATGAGTAATCCCCTATGACAACAATGGATCGGTCCATGTACAAACTAGTCAGTATTAAGGTTGGATGATTCCATTCTGAAATAGGTAGCTGAATGATATAGTTCGTCCTTTAGGTTTAGGGAAGTTTGGACTGCATAATTTTTGTAGTTTGCTAAGGGTGAACGAAAAGGAAATTTCTTTTCTCATCAGCTCCCCTTAGAAAGCAAATGGTTTGATCCATTACACCGCACACCCAATGGAACGTGGACGCTTCCATCGCGCAAACTGGGGTGGTTCTGACGCAGACTTTCTGTTATTGTTGCCAGGCGCAGGGGGCAACACAAACACGTCGGCGCTGTCTGGCCTCGGAGCGCTGGCGGGACTACAGGGGCTCGGGACGCCCAACAGCACCCTGGGACTGCAGGCGCTCACCGGCCTGTCCGGGATGGGCTCGCTGAACGGCACGCTGGGCGCAGCCACCGCGCTAACGGCCAGCGGAACCGCCGGTAATGGGGTGGATCCCTTGTCACAGGCTTACTCAGGAATACAGCAGTTCGCAGGTGATTTGGCAGGGGGAGCCGCTGTACTGCGCATGAGTGCAGGCATGGATGCATGGTGGAGCACGTCGGCAGAACGTACTGCGCCTGCGCGAAACCCCGATTTTTCACAGTTTTTGGTCAACGTTGCATCAGAATTTTGCCTGTTGCAGACAATATCTTTTCCGACACAACATTTGGAAACTACAGACAGGATATTAACCTTATATACGCGAATATGACCTTATATGAGACATTCTGGCGAAGTGCTTTGCACATTATGGGTTTCGCGCAGGTACAGTACGTTCTGCCAACATGCTGCATGATGAAGACATGAGGCTGGTTTGTTGGTTGGTGTGCTGAACTGTATGTGGATGTGCAAATTTGTCTGTTATGTCTTTGTCATGGACACTGTACAGTCATGTATGTTGTACCCAACCCGATTGTGTCTGCATCATGTTTTGTTTCTGTAATTGCAAATATGGATATGACACGAATCATAGAAACAGACATCAGTTTTCAGAAAACACTGACCATTTTATTTGTTTTATTTTATTGCACACTATTCTTTTAAAAAAATTCACTTATTTGCGACTTTAGAAATGTTATCATGACAAAAATGCAAGCATCGATATTGCCATAGCAACACATGACATGACATGACAAGTATATGGAATGATTGCCAGTGACATGGTACTACTAGTGATGTTAGCCTGACTTAGGTAAAACCACTGCTACAGTAAGAAAGGCTTGTCAATGATAGTGACTGCAAAATGCTCTACAATTGTAGAAAACTGTATGCACAAATTTGACAAAACTTGCTTATTTCCTTCGCTAATTGTTGCTAGCTGAAAAAGTACTGCCAGAAAGACAAAAAATCATAGCAACTGCACGTCTACATTGAGTGTTAAAAGGTACAAAAAAACTCTAATATTGCATCATGTATGTAGAATGGACTGATCTGTAAAAACGTTGATATTATTAAGCATGTTGGTCAACTTACCGCTAAACTGAAATTTGCAAAAAAGTTTTACAACTGAAGACACCTGCTAACTGTTGTTTAAAGGACCTGGACTTAGTTTTCTAAAGTGTGTGAAGATATAGTTGAAACTTGGAGATCCTTCAAAACCTTGAGAACAACTAGCAAATGTTTTGTTGAAATATATACTAAGAATATCTGGTTGTTTTTAGATTTTAATTTGTGAATTTTTTTCAGTAAATGTAGGACGAAAAGGGTTGAAGGGGCTAAGGCTAGTGCATACTGGAGTGTACTAACTACAAACAAGGAAAACAATTATAAAAAGTTGTTATATGTAGTTGAATCCACAGAAAAAAAAAGATTTCTATATTTTTCCCTTGAAATCATAGAGTGAGAGAGTTACATGTATGTGTGTACTGTGTTTGTCTGTGCCCCGTGTACATGTACATGTGTGTATGTGTATTTTCCACCAATGTTGACGCCATACCGTTGTCTGGTTTATGTTTACGTTGTTTCCATGGTAACCTGTTCCCATGGTAACCGCATGCCTTGTCTCATGGTTGTAGGCATGGAGCCAAGGCAAAGCAACGTAGGACAGAACTTAGGTAAACCCCGTGTGGTGTGGAGCTAACGGTGTGGCCTGCGCTAAAAATAACTCGCGTGTGGGGTGGGTTTTGGGTGGGGAACTTCTAGATCACAGTTTTGCTGAGCACTGCTTTGTATAATACAAGGAAGGCAAAGTTTTAAAAAAAGAAATTTAATTGTAACCTTTTTTTCCATTTGGCCCTTCAGGATCAAGGTTGAACTGTAGCATCTTTGAAGCTTTTTACCCATTTGGTATTTAATTCTATTTCCATTTCTGTACCAAACTTTGGCTCTCAGTTTTTCATTACACATTTGGACTTTCAAAACGTTCCTCGAATGGAGGTATTGTCCCAGGCTCTGTCTTATAAAGTATAAATAGCTTTGCCTTCTTTGATAACAGAATTTTCACTTCTGTACAGGTTTTGTGTTGCGTGCTGGTCTGATGTGGTGAAACAAATTTCTCTGATTTCCATTTCCACTAGACTAAACTGGCTGTAAAGAAAATAACTGTAGACTTAGACAAAATGTTTTCGCTTTTTTCCTTGTTTCCAAGTCTTCCAAAACAGTCTTTCCATAAAACTCTCTCTCTTGTTTAAAAGCTCTGAAATATCTGTAAAGTTGTTCAGTTTTGGCTGAACTGTTTTTGCTATTAGAGTCTTAATGAAAAACTACAAATGCAAAGAAACAGATTCAAATTTTGATTCCAAAGTCAAGTTTACCTCCTCTTCCTGTGTGCTTTTCTCTTATTTTGTATCTCTTTATGTACAGGTGGTTGCAGAATTGGTGGTTTTCACTGCTTTATTTCATAGTTCACTTTCCCAGTATTCTACCTCCAAAGAATTACTTCAAAGTACTTTGGATGTAGAATGCTCTTGGGGATATATCAATTTAGGCCATGCAAAGTTTTTTCCTTGGTTTTCAGATATTTAAAAGAAAAAACTTTACAAGAGTGCTTAGTCACTGAGAGGGCAACCCTGGCTAAAAAAAACAGCCTAAAGAAATTTGAAAAAACAAACAAAAAGCTGGGAGGAAAACATTATATGTTGACTCCCCAATACTCTGTGTACTAAGAAGATACAGAATTATTTTTCATGCCAATTTCAGCAATAATTTTTCAAAATTCTTTATCCGACACTCAAGAAATTAAAGAAATGTGGCCTTCTCGAGTTCCCGTATCTTGTTAAAAAATTCTTATTCGAGACCCAAGAAATTGAACAAGTATGGCCGTCCTCTATCTTGTTTTTTCCCCGATTTCTTACAAGTTTCTTGTTTTTTTTTCTCCTTTTTTTTGTGCGTGTTTTTTGTGCAGCTACATTCCCCAACGGGTACGGCACGGCGGGTCAGCTGGGCGCCACCGCCGCCGGCAAACAGAAGGAAGGTGAGCAGCAACAAGGTCTGGGTCATTCATGTTCCCGTGCACTCATGCATGTTCCAGGGCCGGCATGATGCTGCACACCCCTTTTTGCTACAGTAGAATAGTCCATAACTTCTAACCAATCTATGATAAACCACTCTTTAGGAATGTTCCATTAAGGAAAGAAGTAGGGGAGCAAGGGAAACACTAACTCTGGGATGGCTTTTAAAATTGGCATCAATTTAGATGGGTTACTAACTTGAGACTCGGTAGATTTGCTTGCTGGTTTGATCTAAAGTTTGGATAAGTATCGTTTTAGAACTAACAAAAGAACTCAACTTTTAATTTAGATTTGAAGTTTTTTTTTAATCAAAGAATCTTGCCATCTTGATTCCAATGACAACATCTTAGATATTTAAGCTTTATGAAGCTTCAAACAATTTTCTTCGTACATAAATCCTTAAACAAGACAATCCGTAGGGACAAGGCAGGAAAGATGAAATAAGTAAAATTCCAAGACATTTCTTAGTCTAGTGCTACATTTTTAGAGACTTGTTCCAAAAAACTACTTGAGTTTTTTAAGACATGTTCCAAGAAGCTCCTTGAATTTTCTGAGACGTCTTGACTCCTCCTCAGGTCCTGAGGGAGCGAACCTGTTCATCTACCACCTGCCGCAGGAGTTTGGAGACCAGGACCTGATGCAGACCTTCATGCCGTTCGGGAACGTCATCAGCGCCAAAGTCTTCATCGACAAACAGACCAACCTCAGCAAGTGTTTCGGTCAGTGCAGAATATGTGGATGTTTACAATGTTGTAATCAGGGCTCTAGCCAGCACCTAGCTCCCACACTCCCGGCATACAATTAGGATGGTACCCAGGCTAGCCAGCACCTGTTTTTCTGTCAATCATACTGAACTTTGCGGCATGTGACGTAAATATTTTAAAACCAATCTGTCAACTTTGATGGAAGATTGAAGGACAAGAATCTTGAGAATTAGTATATAAAAACATCCAAAGGACCAACAGCAACAACTCTGGAGCACATGATTTGCCTCTAAAAATGTGGGAAGTTGCATTTTTAAAGGCTTGAAAATCCAACTTTTGCCCCCAGATAAAAAAAAAATTTGGAGTGTAGGTCAGAAAGTTGCATACGGTAAACATCTCAAGGTTGATTTAAACTGTTCTAGAATATGGATCTACACATATTGTTTTGCTGTTTTTTCATCCCAAAACACTACCTGGAGGTTTGAAAGCTTTGTATTTTTGGTTGTTTTCCCACAAAACAATGCCCGGAAGTATGAAAACCTAGATTTTTGTCTGTTTTCCCTCAGGTTTTGTGAGCTATGACAATCCAGTGGCTGCCCAGGCTGCCATCCAGGCCATGAACGGGTTTCAGATCGGGATGAAGCGGTTGAAAGTGCAACTGAAGCGTCCTAAGGACGCAAACAAGCCGTACTAAAGGCCAGATACTTATGGTACGTATCCGGGGGTAAGGTGTAACACTCATGTACATGTCATTCTGTCCTGTGTCACAAGTTCTGGGCAAACTTGCAGCTGGGAAAAAAGTAATAATTTTGCGATTTTTGTATTCTTCTGTTACACATTCTCTCATTTATGTTAAAGATGATTATTATGATTTTACAAAAAGCTTTGTAATTACAAAATATCATCAATAGCTATCAGTGACTTTTGTCATTTCTGTTTTGTCATGTAGGAGCCTAAAAAGGGAAACTTGAAAGTTTATGGACTTAGAAACAAACTTACCAGCTGTTGGTTTGAACAGAGCTTGTTCTTTTGTGCCACTAAAGCCAGTATGACTAGCGTTTACCAAATCAATATTTAAAAAGTTTTGACATAATCTTAAAATGTAGGAAAAACTGTGATATTACCTTGTCTAGAAATTTCATGATTGAACGAAAGATTTTCTGAGGTTCAAAGAAGTGAAAGCAAAAAAGAGTTTACATATCTCGAGTGTTACAGATTTGATTATCAATGCTAAGATTTGGCAAAGAATTATGAAAATGCAGCATCTTAAAAATGTATTTGAAACTTGGGCCAAAAATTATTTGAATTTTTACGAGAGAAAGCTGGCTTTTCTAGCACGAGTCGTGACTTTGTTATTTAAGCGCTGCCTCAGAGAAGTGTTCTATTTGGGACTGGTCTGGGACCACAAGAGCCATGGAACAGCACACCTGATTGGTCATCTGGTGGTCACATGTGTCAGTCCTTGTTATTGGATGGCTGGGCTAGCCATGTGACTGGGATTCACCAATCAGGAGACAGACACCTGAAGTCTTCCACCAGCTTTGTTCTGTGTTGAGGATGTGAGGAAAAGTGATGATAAGACGGGAAAATGGTTCGCAACTTCTCACAAATTAAAAAAAAAAACACAATTTTCATGATTTTGTAAGTGGAAATTACCTTCTATTAAAGAAATTTAAATGTTTTCATTTTTTTATTACTGCTATTTGAAAAGCACTTCAGGAGCTATTTGTCTGAAGGTCGTTCATACCTGCATAGTGCTGTTTTCAAGGTCATTCAGCACCAGAGACAGTGTTGTCTTAAAGTCATTCAGCACCAAGGACAGAGGCAGTTAAAAATTCTGGGCATTCAATGTTGACCTTGACATCAAAAGAGCTGTGCTGTTTTGAAGGTCAATCAGCACCATGGACGGCAGGTACATGAAGGTCGTTGAAGGTTATTTGTAACCTGATCTGTAGAAGTTGCAAACCAGTTTCCCGGGTGACTATAGTAGTGATGGTAAGTAACCCGTGATGTTTCGCCCCCCTCCCGACGTGCCGCTACATTCACCTGTAGCCAACTCTCCTCCCTGTTTTTGCAACATTGTATCCCAACTGTATGTTGTTGGCAACATTGTGGCAAAGTGTCCTGTGTCCTGCTCCATCCCACCTTCTCCACTGTGGACTCTGGTTTCAGCTGTAGCAATGCCACGGCTGGGCTGGGTGGTCTGACAAGCCTTTGGTTTGAAGTCCTATGAAATCCTTAATAGATTTCAAAATCAATTCAGAAATTGCACGTTTTGAAGTTGAAGTTTTGAAGACAGAATTATCTTCAGATTAAAAGATTTAGTAAAATGAAAATGACAAAAGCCTACATCATTGTTCTAAATTGTTGAAATAGTGAGTAAGTCATGAAGACATTTTTCTGGGATCACCAAAACATAAAAAGTAGATCAGTTTGTTTGAAAACCCTTTCAGACCCTCAGCCCAGCGTTGGTGTGCCCCCAGTGCGCCCCCCTCCCCACCTCCATTCTGTCCCATTGCTACACTCTCCTGTGGCGCTGTCGTACTTTGCAACAATGTGTCAGTCCCGATTAACCGATATTTTTGCTTTACTTCCAACGAGTCAGCATACGTAGTCTTTTACTCCATTTTGTATCGGTCATGCTTTTGGTCTGATGCATTTTTTTATTTGTTGTTGTTGTTTCCGTTGCATTTTGGTAACAATTCCCATTGCCAGGACATATAATGTTGTTGTACATGTGGGTCGTCTGTCCATGGAATCGCAACAACCATGCTCGTCAAATTTGCGTCTCTTACATGTTTGTGGCTACTGCATTTTCTGTACAAACTGCTAGACCTTTACAAGGTCTCTTCAAAATAAAAAGCAGCAAAAATCTGAGAAAAAATAGTGAAAAAACAATTCACCACAGAAAACTTTCGTGTGTTTCTTTCTGTGAAATTTCTGCGACAGGAAAACGTTTCTTGTGTTTTCCGGTCGCACCAACACGCCCACATGTACTCTTCAGTACACTTTCTGTTTGCTGTAAAAGGATGTAAGATGTTTCAAACGACGCTTGTACTGTTTTTTCTCATTAACACGATCCTTCTCCATCTTTGGTTTTTCCTAGATTGCCTGTCACGTTGCGTATTGAGTGTGGGTCCGTCTCTGACACGTGCTGTAACCGTGGTTACCGTGTTCTCTGCTTCCCACGTGCCCGTACGTATCGTTCACACTCGTGTCACTCGCTCGTTTGCGTCCGTTATACGCGCATGCTCCTCTCTGAGCGAGCATGCACCCAAGCATTTGGTTTCCATGGCTGCCATTTTCACAACCTGTGAACTGTAGAACTGTTACCTCCCTTCAAAATGTACTCGCCTTGCACACCCCTTTGTTTGGAATGGACTGGTCCAGCATCAGATGTTGTTGCCAAAAAAAATTAAAGATTTTTCCTGTTGCCAAAGTTTTTCTGTGACAAGCAACATTCGCTACAGAAACTGAGGTCGGACTGTTCCATCTTTCATGGGGGTGGCAAGGGTGATCAGCATATTGGAAGGGATATACTTCTGTAGACACTTGTACTAGCATGCTGATACTGTGAACCTGCCCACCCCTGCTAGACAGTGGTATGTGCCATTCTTCTCAATGTGTACAAAGAATTCTGTATGAAGTAATTTTGTAAAAGGTTCGTGCCACTTTTGTAGAGGGGTGTGTCTCTTTGCAGTGGAAGGTACAAACAGTTACAAGAATTTTTTTCCATTCTGTCAAAAAAGCACAGATGACTTAAAGAGAAGAGCAAAGATTTGAAAGATTAAAATATATTGATTGTTATTGACACCGTAAAGTTAATTTTATTGCTTTTTTATGGAAAAGCTGAAGAAAAAGCCAGTTTGAACAACTTCTGAAAGAAGTGACGTTAAGCCCAAAATGACTCTTGGGTATTTCTTTTGCCAACAAGAAGGCATTTTTGTTGAAATATTTTGGATCTCCAGTTTCCTGTAACATAAACTTTAACAGGTTTCTGAGGAAAAAGTTAAACAGAAAAGGAATTTTTGGCAAATGTAAACTCCACAGTAAAGTGACCTTCACCCCTAGAAATCGCCATGGTACATTCCACAGCGTTGTCCCCTGCTATCCACTGGGTGGAGAGGGGGATGTGCCATTCTGTGAGCAGGGGTGTGCAGGTTGCAGGAAAATGCCATGATAATGTCTGTAAAAGCTACTTGTTAAGTGTGTAGTGTCAGAGAGTACCTTAGTGACTTGGGCTCCGTGTGTCAGTGTGACTTTAAAATGCTGCACTTGTACGAAACTTCAGAATTCTCGGCCGAAAGCCTGCTCCGTGGCTTCTTGTCTTCTCATTTCGTTTGGAACTTAAAATATACCAGTCTGCCTGTCATGTTGAATTGAAAAAGAGAAACAAGTTCTGTGTTAAACAAAGAAGTGCCCGTTTGAGCATGGATGAAGAAAAATGTTCTTGGTTTCGTGCTTTTGATTTGTTGAGTGTTGCCACTGGACGTGTAGTGGCCACAATTCTACGTGTTGAGACTAGTGGGCCTTCAGGGAGAAATAGATTAAAACTGGTCTCTGTGTAAAAAAAAAACAGTGTTTGTGACGAGTACTCAGAGATTTGATGTTTATATTGTCCCTCTGTACTTACGTTAGAGGAAAGCAGGCTGACCAAAATTTGTTGATCGTTTGAAGAGAGTTTGTTCGTAAAGAAAAGAAGGCCAAAATGTTGATATATTACGAAGTGCCATGATGTGGAAATAAAGAGCTATATTTCGACAAAGGAGATTTTTGTTCAGTCCAGTGTTCTGTTTAGAAGAAAAGAGAGGAAATTTGTGTCTCATAAGAAGTAGAATTGTGCTGAGGAGTTTAGTTTTCCACGCTGGTGTGAATCTTGTGGTAGGCAGTCTGAACCATTATTCCGTTTTATTTATTGGCCTTGTAGACTGTTGGCCATGAGCGATGTTTGACTGTAAACGGTTTTGTTTCTGTTCCTTTCCGGAATGTTCCCATTTCAAGAGTGTTCCTACCATGTATCGTATGTTGTTGCCACCCCTCTTCAGTATTGCTACAATATTGCTACGCACCATTGCGATGTGTTGTATCGAATGACAGTCATCTCAGTCCCATGCTCTAGAAAGTGTGGCAATGTGAACCATAGCTGTGTAAAGTGAAGCAGTGTTTGCCATGTATCTACACTTCTCAATGTTGAAACGTTGTTATGATTGTACTTAAGAGTGCAACGAGCATTTTTGCTACAAGTTGTTGTTGATCCTTGCCACATGGTACGGTGGAATTCCCAATGGAGATTTTTGTTGTTCCTTTTGTTGAAACATATCTGATAATTTTGTGAGAGGAAGATGAGTTAAGGTACTGTGTACTTACTGAGATTGTAACCCTTTGGTCTAATCTGGTGCCAAAGGGAAAAGCCAAAGACATTAGTACAAATACGAGAGGGTTAATTAAGGTCAAGTTACTTAATCACATAATTTACTTAAATATTAACCTTCATTTATAGTGGTATTCCTTTCCATAGTTACGTAATGCTTACGTTCCTTGTCTTTGGTTTGGTGTGATGGTATCACAATGTGCCCAAATATGGAACTGATCATGTGATCATAATAGACCAATCAGCAACGATGACTGAAGGTTGTGACCATATTTGTAGTGGTCATGTGACTGGGAAGTTGTGTCTGATTGGTCGAGCCAGTAGAACATGTCCATATTTGGGCATGTTATATGAGACCACTTCAGCCTATCTGTACACAGGAGATGCAATAGGTGCCAAAAACTGTTGTGTTTTTTGTTCTGTTTGTTTACTTGTTTATCTGTTTTTGTTTGTGAGCGTTTTCACATCGTGGCATGATGTGTCGTTTCGCTAAATGACTGAAACCTCCTTTATCTTCTCTCTCACTCCCTCTCTCTGTTCCTGTTAGTTTTTGTAACGTTTTCCTTTTACTTGCATGAGATATATCATATATAATAATAGCAGAGTATATCTAGTACGAAATGGTTGCAATTTGTTTTTGGTGTGGCAAGTCCAAAGTGTTGGTACTTGAAAGTGATCGCAGTAAAGAAAGCACACAACGGTTTATTTATCGTATTATATGTAGAAAAGATCGTAAGTGAAATGTACATGCATGCGGAACTTTTTTTGTTTCATTTATTTGATCGTCGTTCCTGTGATGACTGAGTAAAACGTGCGAGTGGTTCTCACTTCTCATATGTGAAAAGTCTCTTCGATCCTCTCTCTTGCCTTGTTTCATTTTTTTTTTGTTTTTGCTGTTCTGCTTCGAGGTTGCATATTTAAGGAGGAAAGAGAGTTCTATCTCGCTGACTCTAGCATACGTCTGTAGAGCCTGTTTGTAACCCAGTCACGTTGTAACATCCACCCCGGTGTTGTTGCACTTATTAAAAATTTGTGTGCCGTCATCTCAACAAGTCTGTGTTTCCTGTGTGTCATTTGTGCGTCCACATTCGTGCTCCGAGTCGGGGCGGTCATGCCATTGTCTCCGTACCGTGCGTACAGACTCCCACCGAGCGCTACTCCGCCACGCCATCCCCTCACTTTAACCAGCCATGTTCACACACGCAAACACACACACGCTAATAATCGTGTCGCCATGGTAGCGTACATGTAGCTGTGCAGCCCCCTGCTGTCGTGTGGTGCGTTTAACGGTCGTTACTCGGTGTCCAACAAACTTAACCCAACATTTAACCGGACATTCTCTTACACAAGGTGGAGGAAATCGCACTTCTGTGAACTTAACTGCATCTTTAACATTGATAATACTACACAGGGTCTGTCAGAGATACGTGAAATATAAAATCAAATGTTTCTTCATCAAAGTATAACAGTCTGATGTGAAAATTAATTATACACATCATTGGCAAATTTTTTTTCAAACCAGTGGGTCAAAATGGGTAAAATTAAAGCAGTAATTCTTTCTTTTGGCTATGAACTGAAATTTGTTGCAATTTCTTACAAATTTGTGCATTAAGACCCTGAACACAAGTGCCAAAACATCTCTGTGAAACTTCTGTTTTCACGTCGTGCAAACGCAACTTCTGTGCCAAAACAACATCCCCTCCATTCACACAACCATCGCTTGCTGCTTTAGCCTCGAGTCTCGATGTAAAACATTGCTGTACGCTTCACTCGTCTGCAAACATTCACCGTTTCCTTGGGTCACAGGCAGAGTACCAGGGTTTATTCACACAAACTTTCCTTCTTTGTGAAGTGTTTAAAACTACACCAGTCCTGCATTCAGTATATATCAGAAGTTTAAAAATGTGAAAACCTGAAACTTTTGAAGCATTTTTGCTTGGAAATGTGAAATCTGTGTTGTTAAAAACTGAACAAGAAAAAATTTTCATGAAGTGAAGAACACTGCTTCGCAATGCTGCATGAGGATCTCAGCAGGCAAGCTATCACCTTTGACCTGTAACATTTGACCTTTACCACCTGACGACACCAATCCCATGATGCACTGGAGATGATCATGTGACCTCATCTGTCCGTGTTTCTTGTGTTTGTTCTGGCTTGACCATCTCTGCATTACCGTCTTCACGTGTTGCGTTTTTCCGTTTGTCGATTTGTGTTTCGTGATGTGTCACATATTTTTCTAATGCAGAGTATTTATAATATATATTTTATCAGATGGCGTAAAAAAAAACACACAAGGTTGAGAGAGAACTTAAGGAACGTTATAACGATCAGAGGTTGCTTAAGAAAGGAGAAAAGGGACCAGGTGATACCAATGTTTTCCTTAAACCGTCTTAAGTCCATACCAGCATTCCAAGACAATTTTCCAGCCTCCAGAAAAAAACAAGAAGCCATTTCAGGTTCGTAACTCGCCTCGGTTACGGCCACTATAATATTGTTGCCATTCCGTATCCATGACATTGATGAATCCATTGTTGCTCATTGGCTGGAACTTTGGCTTTGTTGTCGAGGTCAGAGGTCAGCATTGGTATCCATGGTAACGGAGTGACGTGTGAGAAAACAAGTGTACTTAAACTAGTGACCAAAACTTGTGGCTTGGGGGCACGACGTCGCTTTTCCTTGTTCAAGTGGAAACAAAACAGAAAAAAAACCACAAAAATGTTGTCCAGGAAGTTCTCACTGAGGTGCTACGATGTGGAAAATAGGACAGGCTTGGACACCCCTGTTTCTAGAGTGGACTGTTCCAACATGATTGACAGTTCGAACAGATGGAAAGGTGGAAGTTTTAGAAATGACAATCACTGTAAAAGAGATATTATCGTAGCTTGTAGGAAGTTTATGGCAGAGAATTGAATGAAGCCCCCTTGTTTTAAAGCTGGTGGCAGCCTGCATTGAAAATGCAGGGTATTTCACATACAAAAGAGGCCAACTTACCACCAACTTGTCCACCCCTTTTCGGGGGAAATGGAAAAGGCCCGGACGTACAATAGGAATGTGCCACTCTCAGAAATAGGGGTGTTTGAGCCTAGAAGCAGTGAAAATTGCCTAGCGCTGGGATTTGATGTTTCCCACTAGATGTTGAATGTTATAGTACTCTGCGGTCTAATTTGTACACAGAATTTGATTGTAGTTCTATTTTGAAATAAAGCTATTGCTGTGAATTCTTGTTCTTTATTTTTTTACCTGGTTTTCTTAATGTTGTACCTCTTATCTTAAGCATGAAATATTTAATTTGGTCAAACACAAGACACAAGAGTGAAATCATTTCTTTACACAAAGACGAAATCAGGCCAATTTCAAGATTGAAGTATCAGATTTACTTGCATTTGAGTTCAGAAATCCAAACAGTCATACATAGATACAACATACATAAAGGCATACAACTACAACACACATCACAACATGGTCTTAATTTTTCACAAATTTTGCACTACTACATTAGCCTGAGTGTCAGCCTTGTTAGCTTTCGTCCGCTACCCAAGGTCCGTTGGCGGGGAGCGGACCTTGGGTAGCGGACGAAAGCTAACAAGGCTGACACTCAGGCTACTACTACATGGTAGATGTTACAGATCGTTGGTGCCTGCGAGCCACACTTCAGCACATACATGTAGTGACAAACACACCACGATTCCCAAATAATAATCTCCAAGCAGATCATATGGTGGCAAGGCAGTGCCCATTGGCCAGAGGAGTGTCCATTAGCTACTAAAGGTGGCCATACAAACTCCTCTGGCTAATGGATACTGTCTTGCCACCGTATAGGATCTGCTTGGAAATTAATCCCACATATTCAAACACACAAAGGTACAAGGCTGCAGTTCCAGATCGTTTTGCTAGGCTATCTAAAAGCAACAAGACTTTACACTTTTCAGTCAGAGTAGTCTCTCTCGCATGGAAAACTAGTATCATATATGCATGCAAAATGCACAGAAATACGTCAAGTTTTGCCCTACTGCTCCATATTTTTTCAGAAAAAAATCCAAGAACCAACAAATCAAATTGGTGTGGCCTAAACACTGCAAAACCTCAGTCAAAACACTGTGACTCAGATCCTAACATCTGCTTGGGAGTTTGAGTGAAAGGTACACACACACAAGTAAACAACACAGGAAGATAAACTTTGGAGTTTGGCCGATCAGTCTTCTGCTGACTAGAAGCCACCTGTTCTACCCAGTCTCTGGTGCAGGCATGGCGTGTAACACTGGGCCCAGCATGGCTAGGTCACTTCTAGTATGGGTGGCTCTTCTACTTGCAATGCAAGGTAAGTTTTACTGATCAAAAACCTTGTAAATGTGACAAAGTTTAAACCTCCTTGGTATATAAATCTTTCAAAAAGCCAGTTATAGTTCACGAGTCAATAATTAAAAGTAAACGCAAATACATAGTCTACGTACATGTAAGTTTTAATTACTGTAGTTCAACGTAGTCAACAGTTTTAAGTTCTCTTCCGTGGATTTCCCTGTGTATAAAGTGCAAAAACTGTCACACATTTTAAGTTTCTTTAGGCAGTTTCTTTCATTTGATGAAGTTTCTTTGCACATAACAGGTGGCAAGCAAATTGATAATGTCTTATAACCATTGATTGTAGAAAACAGTGTGTAAGAAACTTTTGCTTGGTCATGATCCTAAAGATCCTAAAAACAGTATGTTCCAGAGACAACAAACTAATGAATAGAAAGCACATGTTAGGTAAATCTGACCCATAAACGATTAATAACGTTATATAAAGGTTTGGGTGTCACATGACGCTTCAATGAGCTGAAGATGTACAGTGAACTTTGAACCTAAGTAAAGGGAGGGAGGGGGGCGTATTGGAGGTAAATTCAAGCAGATGTCAGGATGGGGGACAAAACCTTGGGGTCGTGTGGTATAACAGTAGAGTTTTCAGCTCAGACCCAAGAGGTTCCGGGTTCGAATCCTGCCCAGATGTTACCGATCTTGTGCCCTTGGGAAAGGCACTTTTACACGACTTTCCTCACTTCACTCAGGTGTAAATGAGTACCTAGCTTCAGTTAGGGATGTCCCTCGGATAGGACGTTAAATGGAGGTCCCATGTTTGAGGAGAGCCACACCCAACGCACGTTAAAGAACCCACCGCACTTATAGAAAAGAGTAGGGGACCTTCCCGGTGTGAGTGGTTCAAACCTCACAGTCCGGTCTAACGCAGCTTGTACTCTTAGATGTACAAAACTGGTGTGTTACTCCTAAAGGCGGTTTACCAGTTATGAGAAACGAACAAAACATGTAATGTTTGGTGACATGATGACACAGGTGACCTCACAGGAGCGTCGCCCTTTGACCTGAAGATGGACAGGGCCCTGCTGACCGTGACCTCTGACCTGACCCACCCGGTAGAAGTGTGGACGGTGTCGGACGTGTGTTACCAGGTAACCGTGTGTCCAGCCAAATAGACTACATGACAGAGTACATAGTAAAACTAAAAGAAACACAAAGTATTACTAAGTAACTACAAATGTAACATTTGAAAAGCAACTTGTGCATAATGTATATATATGGTCAGACAGGAGTATAAATCCCTCCTGCTATAAAATTGCAACATTATGTAACCCAACACTAGTTGCCATGGTGAGAGACGCAACAAATCAGATCATTGGCAAGGTCAAAATAAAGTTAGTGTTTGGAGAAGAAGAAGAAGAGGAGGAAACTGAGCAAAAACAACATGTTTTCCTTTGGTAAACATGAATATTGCAAAATAACCAACATACTTAACATGAACTGAACTGAAGCAACATACAGTGTCATGCATACAGACTACACTACTAAAAGAAACACAAAATAACAAGAATTTATCCCTCCCCCGTAGTGCAACCTGAGTTTTACCGGTCTTGTCGTGACGCCGCACGGCAGCGGGAACCTGACAACCAACACCTCCTACCCCACCAACCTCACCTTCGTGTGGAACTATGGCAACGGGACAAACCAGTCCGTCTGTAGGTAGGGGCAGCCTCTACACTTTTTTAAAAAATAAACCTACACTTTTTTTGTAGAAAACTGTTTCTTTCTGGGTAACAACAAATAAAATAATTACACATTTCTTCAATATGTCTTTCATTTCAAAAATTGGTATCCATAGAAAATGGATAGTTATGGAAAATGCAGTTATCGATAAAAGTATACATAAATGCTCCTCTATACTTCTGCCTAATAGATATAATTTTGCATGAATATTTTTCTTTCCAGCCATCATTATCATTATGGTGAATATGGGCATTACCGCATGATGCTCGGGAAAATATGCAAGCTGAGCACTCTGACAGAACCAGTCAACAGCAACATCCGTGAGTTCTGTTTAAAGTTACTGATTCGGAAGAAAGGAGATGAGAAAAGGGGTGGGAAGGACAGGGAGAAACAGGGGGAGAGAGGGAGGGAGGGAGGGAGGGAGAGGGAGAG